AGAAGTAAATTTAATATATAACATATGGTTAAGAGGATAATCTATTAAGTATTAAATTTCAAAGCTATGTTTAAGCTACAATGGAGAAGTGCAACAATGAGAACAATATGACAAATATAACAGCTTTTATTTGCACCAGATTAGCATTGACGGGATAAGGATTAAGGACAAGATTTGCATAAGGTTTTAATCATGCAGACGGGAATGGTTGGAATGCTTCTAGATAAAATACTAGCTGATTACAAAGAAGAAGATGATTCAATTGTATTACCAATTCTAAATATGCCGAAAAAGATCAACAAGAAAAGCTTAATTTGAGGGGGTGAATGGTGGCAAACCTGAATTTTGCTCAGTCAATACGGCAATTAAGTAGCTGTCAAGTTAGGTTAATTAAATCCAAGTAAAAGTTGGAAACTTATAAATTTTAACAACTTGCATGTTATTATATTAATTCACATGCATACATACACGCAGACGCGCGCGCGCCCACACACACACACGCACACACAAACACACACATATATATAAGTTTCCATCTCATTTAGTAAAAAGAGCTACCCAAGGATAGGAATGGTAAGATCTACCTGCTCCAATGTGACTCACTGATGCCTCACACACACACACACACAAACACACACACACACACACACACACACACACACACACACACACACACACACCCACACCCACCCACACACACACACATATAAGTTGCCACCTCATTTAGCAAAAAGAGCTACCCAAAGATAGGAATGGTAAGATCTACCTGCTCCAATGTGACTAGCATAATGGACCTTAACATTTGTGCACCTCTTGGTAGCTCACTTCGCAAGATGAGCTATCACCTCATACCCATTTTTTCCCGCACACATCCGTGTCTATGTACATATGTATGTACTATGTAAAGAGTACGTACATGTATTTGTGTCTGTCTAGATATGTGTGTGCCTGTCTGTGGTGCGCAAGCAGGTGAGCGCGCGCGTGTGGGTGGGTGTGAGTAGTTGGATGCATAGGTGGATGTGGCCCATGTGGGTGGGCGTGGTGTTGGTAATACATTGGAAGGCTTGTGTGTGTGGGTGGGTGGATGTGATAACGCACTGGGAGGCTTCAAATAAAGCTTGAGGTAAAATAGTTTAAATTTTGTGGAGAAACTTTTTGATTATGAACTAATATAACAGATCATAAAACTCTAAATAAAATCAGCATGACTGGGCTATATCCAGTCAGTTACAAATGACAAGCATGACAGGCTACATTTAGCATCAACAACATGAAACATACCCAGAACAATTTACTCTTCAACCTAGTCCGTTCGATAAACTAATTAGCAATAGTTCCAAAAAGTAATAAGTCCCAATATATCTAACTTCTACAAACTTTCAAAATAGTAAGCAGATTCAAGATAATCCTAGCAAATATACCTTAACTAACGAGTAACATATAGAAAGTATCCTGTTGTGACGAAAATTTTAACAAAGTTCTAAGCTTCCTACTAATGGAAACTAAAGATTACCATGCTTAAACAACTCCACAGCATTTTGCTCAAATATAATAAAAGCAGAGAACCGTCAAAATAGCAAACCTCATGACAACATCCGAGATCTGCTTAGAAATCACAGGCGCCACCTCCGCCGGCCTCCCCGGCCTCACTAGAGGGGAACAAATCGGCGGCATATGAAACTCAATCCCTAACCAAATAAGACAAATCACAATCAATTCCTTCTTCTTAAACCCTAAAAAAAGGAAAAAAAAGAATATTTTCTTAATGAAACCTAGGGATCCTTGGTCGGGGGATTCAGCGCCAGGTGTCATGACCTCGAGCTTGATGGCGGCTAGCATCGTCGTGTCTCCGACCTTTGACGAGGGAGGACCCGTCGGCGGAGGCGACGGCGCGACGGCGACGGTGGTGTCCGGGATCGGGCGAGAGGCGGGCGTCGGGCGAACGGACTCGGCGAGGTGGCGCTCGTAGTATGGAAGAGGGAAGAGGCGGCGGTACGCCTCCACCTCCATTTCTGCGGGCCAGATCGCTGCTCGCCATTTCTCCCGCGCTCTATTCAGTGCGAAGGTTTTTGGAGAAGAGCGATTGAGGGAACTAGGGTTTTAGGATGGAAGATTAACGGGTTTTGTCGGAAATAACGGGTCCGACCCATTTGCAAATAGAGCAACTAATGAGGGTAAATTTCACAAAACCCCGCCAAAGTTTGTCTCAAATGCAGATAACCCCGTCTAAGAGCAAGTGCGCTCCCAGTTGGGAGTCCTAGTTAGCAAGCTCTCAAGAGCTCTCAAGCATTTTAGAATAAAAAATTAAAAAATTAAGTCTTGGGAGGCCCTCCTTCTTTTATGGAGCTCCAACAAGCTCCTAGTTAGGAGCTCCAACAATATAAAAAAAAACCCTCCTAGTTAGGATGATTTTTTCACAACGGTGCATTTTCACCAAAACTTTTTCACAACGGTACATTTTCCAACGGTACATTTCCTCTCAACAACGCCAAATCCCCAAATCACTAAAAAAAAATCTTCAGCCTCAACCCAGCGACAGATCCAACCCCACCCCCAAATCATCTTCCTTCTTCGTTCGACCCCAACCCCAAATCTTCTCCGACCCATCTTCGCGAACGCCAGCATCTCAACGGAAACGCCATCATCGCCGAACCTGATGTTTGAGGGGGATTTTTGTAAAATTTTCCCCACTTGGGAGCTCCCAAGCGCTCCACAAATTTGTGGAGCGCTTGGGAGCTCCGAAGCTCTCCACCGCCACGTCGGCCTAAGGAGAGGGGCTTGGGAGGGGTTAGGAGCTTGCTGGAGGGGGGGCTGCCGTTTTCCACGGCCACGTCAGCCTTGAGAGCTCTCCTCAGAGCTTGCTGCCCTTGCTCTAAGGGCATGTTTTGGCAAATTCTTGTGAACGGGGCTAGGTTCGGTCCTAGCTCCATTTTGAGAAGAATTGCGTTTGGGTAAAACATGGCCATCATTGACCCAGTTCTTTTAAGGCCTAAATTGACCCCTAAAACTGATTTTGTTTTGGTCCACCTCTCCTCTAGACTAATGGTCGGTTTGACAAACGGAGCAAAATTGGACCAAGACCAGTCATAGCCCAGTTTTGTGCTAAACTAGTTTTGTTTTGGACCAGACCATTCACCCCCCTGGTCCAAAACAAAACTAGTTTAGTGACACTATTTGGGCACGAAAATGGGGTCAGATTTAGCCCAGAATTTTGACAAACAAGAAACAACACAAAATTGGGTCAGGTTCAGTATTGGTCCAATTTTATAAAGTTGTCAAACACTCCCTAAAAGAAAGCCGAATTAGTTTAGAACTTAGTCAGGATCAGTCCTGGCCAGTTTTAGGGTGTTTGGTAAACACGCCCTAACTTTATAAATATCACTTGACTTTTCTAAACGATTCTGCTGTAGTCGAATTGCCAAGAAAACAGATAATTTCTAAGCTTTTTATAGTTCTTTGAGTGTGAATTGATGTAGATTTTTCCAAGTGCAAGGTTATTTCCTTTGATTTTACGAGTGTGTGCATTTTTCTGTGACTTATCAAGGCAAGAGAACATGAATGTCGAGCAGACACGGAGAACACTAAAATAAAAAAAGGGATTTACTTTTCTAAATATATAAGTTTTCTGGTCCAGACGATGCGTGGATGACTCAAAATTGCATTCTTAAAATAGCTAATGTCTAAAGCTGCTATCTCACAAAACTTTTTGGTCCTCCATCTATCTCACGTGTGCTATAGAAGCGTTTGCACTCATCACTGAACTTTGAGTTGCCCTCAACAATGTATGGTCAATTATATGTTGAGATTGTATCTTTGATTCTTTGTATAACTTTATGAAAATTAGATAGGGTTAGAAATCTATCATGATTAGGAGACTGGGTCTCATGATGATTAGGAGTTTGAGTCCTATTTTAATTAGAAAGTTAGGCTAGATATTGGGTTTTGGTTTCCCTATATATATTCTTCTATTGTTGGAGGAAAAACCAATGAGATGAGAGAGAGTCAATATTCTTGTAATTTAGGGTTAGCAGAGGGCGTAGCCTGATTCAAGAGTATTGTGCGAGAGGCAAAGGTTTCATAGTTTTTGTCCGTGCAAAAGACTACATCATTGGGAGATGGTTTCGAGGTTTTTGTCCGTGCAAAAGATTGTAAGGAGATGACTTTGGAGAGAATATGAGAGTTGATTATGTATGTGAGGTTGAGAGATTGAGAGACTAAAGTTGAGTGGTTCCTCTCGTAGTTCTCCCTGATACATAGTAGATTTCTCGTATTGTTGCCCGTGGACGTAGGTCGAAGTTAGTCGACCGAACCACGTAAATCTCGGTGTTTTTCTTCTTGATTGTGATCGTTTTCTTTATTCTTGATTGTGGTTGGCTTCCAAGTTGCGCAGATCGCAGTAGGCGAGGAGACTGAAATTCCCAACATTATCATCATAGTGTCTAACTGTTTAGACTTTGCGTTTATACTTCATGGTGCTATAGCTTATCTTTCCTTCATCTCAAATACTCCTGGGGACTGTTGGGCACTCTTTGAATGTTTTGCTCAATCTTTTCGTAACCCACATCTATAGATCGAGCAATATCTACGCTCACAAATTAGCTCACACTGCTTGTAAATATAAATGTACACCATATTTGTTGTTCTAGGATTGGCCCAGACCATATCTATAATCAACTTCTTATCGATGCAATGTAGTTGAATCTTTTGATTCCTTAAAAAAGAGAGAATTGAGAAATTTAGTGGGCATTAAAGCGTTAATAGGCGATGTAAGTGACATACCTAGTAAAAGTTAATGGATTTTAGTGAGTACTGTTTTGGAGAAAGATAGGACAGTGGATGAAGTTTAGAGGGCTAACCTTTAAACTTAAAAGAAATTTTTAAAAAAGATCAATTTAAAATTTTATTAGCAAAATCAAACATTTTTATTTAATTAGCAAAATCGACTGCTTTTTTACCCATCACCATGGTTGGTCAAAAAGTGGTTGATTTCGGAAAATTGAGACTTTAAAAAAATGGGGCTACTAGTCCCATGTAGTTAGCGATCACTAATTAGGGGTTAATCTGATTAATTGTCCCTAAGGGTAAGGGTTAATCTGTCAATAATTACATATTAGCCCTTCAATTCTTAAAAATTACATATTTATCCCTTAAATCTTATTTGATCTTGCAAAATGGTCAATCTATCAACTTACGAGTTAAAAAACCTAACTAATATTGGGTTAACTCTTAGTCCAACATCCGTAATTACCAAATTACCCCTCTCTAATAGTTTAAACCGTCGTAAAGCACAACTTTAGGTTATGATTCTTTTCTAACCATTGGAGAAGAAGAACTCATATGGATTTGGGGATTTTTAAGAGGATATTAGGTTTAAACCCATTTAAAATGAGTTACATAATATAATAGAGGGTAAAGCAGCCTCCAACCGTTAGATTCGACGAAATATTCTCCTCAAATCTAACTTGTGTTAGATAGCAAACTTCGAGATTTGAGGGGCTACTATGCAATTATTGAAGATGTAAGGGATTAATATGTTAAAAAAAACCCCTAAAAAATAATCTATGCTACTATAAAAAGAGGATTGGGGTGCTAAAACTTTAATTTTTTTTTGCCCTATTAAATTTTGATATATTCTTACTATGCCATTATCACTAATTATTCATTCGTTAAATAAATATAACTACTTATTAATTATGCACCTCCTCACCTTCTTAAATAATTATAATTATCAATAATATTATAACAATTAATTATTTAAAAATAATAAAATAAATAATTTATCAAATAAGTATACACAATTATTAGTAGAAATCAATTAAATTATTATAATTATTATTTATGAATTATAATAATATAATCAAAATAATAGTATAAATAGAATAATATGTTAATAAATATTATTAAGAATTATATTATAATTTAATAAGTAATAAAATAAACAAAATAAATAAAATAAATAAAATAAATTTTGAATCACGTATTAATAACATCACATAAATTATGAATTACACTATTTATTTAGTATTATGTTATTAAATAAATAATTTAATATTATTTATAGAGTATTTTCTCAAAAATTATTACATGACACTGAATATTATGTATTTGGTAATGATTAAAAACTAAACTTTTCACAGAAAATTTATTTAATATTAATAATACTATTATTAATTGTTAATGATAGTATAATAAAAATTATAAAATATTTATAGTACTAAATTATTCAAGAGCATAATTAAAAAATTAAACTACATAAATATTTTATAATACATAGACAAAATAATTATTTTAAATAAGGTAAATTACAGTAAAACCCCATGATCTTTCAACATTTTGCTGTAAATAGATCCTATGAACTTTCAAAACCACGCTAAACCCCTAATGACTTTTGTAGAAAGCCACAATTATCTTTTAGATAAATTACACTAAACCCCGATAACTTTCAAAATGCATTTTATGCCATTTTATGGTTCCAATTTATAAGGGTTATCTGTAAAATTCGGAAAGTTATTGGAGGTCTTCTTTAAAAAAAAGTCATTAGGGGTTTAGTGTAATTTTAAAAGTTCATATGGGCTGAAAAGTTTATAAGGGTTTAGTGTAATTTACCCTATTCAATAATTATAAAAAGGAGCAACTATTGCAATATGTTGCTGGTATCAAGTTTAATTATCTAGAGAACATTAAGAAAAAATTAGCAAGAATAATACAACTTAGTTAATTTAGAGTTAAATTAATAACTTTCAAGTTGGAGGGGCAAATTTGAGAGAACTTATAGAGTTAGTAGTTTTATTTAATAATAATTTTAGATCTGGTGACTTATTTGAAAAAACGTTAACACTAAGCGATTATTATAAGAAAAATATTCAATTATAATAACTACACAATAATAACTAATTCATACATGTCTTTATATGTAATCTTATTATATAATTTTATTTATTAGCACATAGTTTTAATATTTAAAAAAAATTCAAATCTTAAAAACATGTAACGGGAAAAGAAAAGAAATCAATCGCTCTTCTCCCTACTGAATCGAGCATGAGATTATCCGATTGAGATCGTAAGGCCCCAACCGAACCGGGCCAAGAGAGTCAATACTAAACAATTATTATAAGAAAAATATTTAATTATAATAACTACACAATAATAATTAATTCATACATTTTTTTTTTTAAATAATCTTATTATATAATTTTTATTTATTAACACGAAAGTTTTAATATTTAATAAAAATTTTAAAATCTTAAAACATGTACCAGGAAAAGAAAAGAAATCAATCGCTCTTCTCCCTACTGAATCGAGCATGAGATTATCCGATTGAGATCGAAAGGCCCCAACTGAACCGGGCCAAGAGAGTCAATACCAAAAACACCCCGCTATTGAAAATAGTTTTCTTGACATCCTCCTCTTTTTTTTAGGGCTCGCGTGCTAAACGCTAACTGGCCCCCAAAAATCTCCAGTCGCCGAGGATCATGTCAATGACTCAATTCGCCATGGTAATCCTACCCCCTTCTCAATTTAGAGCTCTATGGTTCTCTGTACATTGGTTAAATTTAGCTTCTTTGTACTTTTGTATTGGGAAAGAAGTTATTTTTCTGGGATTTAGCGGAAAAATAATCTCAGATTTTTTTTTTTGCGAATAATTGGGGTGATGCTGGCGCTCTTCAGAGCATAAGTAACTAAATCCCGATTCTAACCTTGCGAGGATTTCGCAAAATCCGCAAAAATAGAGTCTGCATGTATGCTTGCAAGTAAAAGTGCTCCCTCACAATTCCTTTTGCAGTTAAGCAATCATTGTAATTTCGTCCTACTTTACCATCAAATGTTGTAAAATCGAAGCCAATTACCTTTTTCATATATAATAAGTATCTTAGCTGCTAAATTGATTTTATCTTACAAAAAAGGCGGCCGAGAAACCATTGCGTCTATTTCGGGTAGCTGTTTTTATGTAAATTGCTAGTCAAGCTTCTATTTTAAACTTGTAGGTGGAGGAGTTGGCTTCCCTTATCAAGGACAATCTATCTTGCAAGCATCTTGTTCTTTCCGTAGAGGAAGCCTTGGTTAATTTCCTTCAAGATGATGCGAGGTATTTACGGGCTCGTGGATTTTACTCGTTTAATTTTTACGCCATCACTGCTCTTTCCTCAAGATGTTAGTTGTTTGCCTTTGTTGCGTTCGTTTGGTATGTTAATTTGTTTGTTTCGGTATTATTTCTGATATCGACAAAAAATCATCTCTCTTATGGCATTCGGGTTGTTGCTTTTGCTTTTAGTAATTAACTAATACCTTGTTTGTTCCTTTACTTCTTTTGGTCTTTGCTGCCTAAACATGAGATACACGTCAACTTGACAACTGGAAAGTTGCTGACAGTGAGCCAAGTTTCAGTGATATAGACATTAGCTATTTTAAAATGCACTGTAACGTGCATATTTCTGATCGTCGTCCTTATTGCTATCATTCTGAACCTCATTACCAATGTCTGCGTCCAGCCAAGAAGGATTTTTGGAGCTTCAACCAATGATCCCGTACCACCGTATGCTGTTGCATCGACTTGCAGATATTTACGGGTATGTACCATTGCTTATGTTTTCTGTTTGAGTTTATTTCTTTTATTGCGGATGTAAGCAGCCACTAGTTGGAAAATTTATGGGCATTGCCTCCAGATTATTTCTAGTAATGCTTCCGCTTTGCATACTTATTATGTTTCTTCTACTTGCAATTTGTAAAAAAATCCTAGATTTGCTCATGAGTCTGTTGGTGAAGGGGATGATCGCCATTTAGTTCTGGAGCGGTGTGCAGATACAACAATGTATGTCGACAAATTACTGTCTTATTCTCTGATTATCATTTCATCCATTTCACATTGCTCGTTCAGTTCATTGATATAGTTAAGGAAGAACAGGTGCATCACTTAATGTATATGCTTGTTACTTTCTATTTAGTATTTATTTTGATACCTTTTAAGACATGTCATCATTTAGTCTTTTCACAAACTGTACACACTTCAGTTCTGCTTATCTAGGTCGAGATAAAGCAATGTATGTTGCCAAATCTGTCTTATTCTCTGATTATTGATCATCTACTTCAAATTATCTCATTCGATTCATTATATCCTTAAAGGGAACAGGTTCATCAGTTAATTTTTTTTTTTAAAACTTACTATTGTTTTGATACTTTTAAGACATGTCAATTCTTGCATTCGTCTTTTCACAAATGGTTCACACTTCAGTTCTGCACTATCTGCACATCATGATGCACTAGATAATATTTTCTGTTATCATAGATTAACAAGAGTTATCTCTCATTTTGCTGTGCTTAAGTTTTCTTTTATTCTTCAACTCTATTGCTTCTACTTCTATCAAAAGTTCGTTCCTTTTCTCTTTCGAGATTTCTTCAGTTTATCTGAATTATTTGTATATGTAAACTGAATCAGTTTCCGAACATGAAAGGTCACGTCCAATAGTTTTTCCTGAATTTTTTTTCATGAAAACTGTTTTACGATAGTGGCTTACAAATTTGTATGTGGAAGGAAAGGACAGGACTCCTTCAAAAGATTTTGCAACTCAACCTTTAGGATGAACATGGATACATGCATAGATGATATGACAGCATGAGGTGACATGATATGGGAAATCCTTTACTTTCTAGTTCTTCTTTCCTCCGTGCTTACGTTGTCCATTTCTTTCTATATAGTATATACATTCTAAACTAGTTTACACTTTTATGTGCGGATCAGGAAAATATTCATTTTCCTTTGACGTATTGTTATCTTCCATCAAGCTGTGTAGGGTTTTGGTCTGTGAAAGATGAGTTAGATAAGGAAGAAGAGAAAGAAAAAGAGTATAATGACAATTTTACGTAAAATCACATGCAATACCAACTCTACAGTTAATGCTGTTTTACAAAAATTCCGACTTTGACCTTCCTATATTTATTTTTTATTTGATCTTAAATATTTACCTGTTTAAGACAGTTCCACGAGTTATTGAAGCGATAAGTTTTTCTCTCCCCATAAGAGGAGAGTAGTCACTTTTTCCTTCTCTCACTCTGTGTGTAATAAATATGTAGTGGTTATTTTGTATGAGCTGACATCCCATTTTGCTGAATGGGCTGTGAAGAAATGAGTCATGGCAAGGCCTACCCATCAGATGTGACTTGTCGTTCATGTGTGTGCGCGTGCATGTATAATGTGCTTGCGAAAATTGTTCTTTACTTACCTAAGTTTCTTCACGTTATGATGACACATGATTGTTGACTTGGCGTACTCCTGCCTTTTATAGTTTTGGTCAAGTTGTCTCATAGTTTCTCTTTTGCATAATTAGATTTATAAAAAGCTTGGTTATGGCATGCAGGCTATATACTTCATTTACATATCTACTTCAGAAATTTGCACTTTCATTCAGTGGAAAATTGAAATGTTAACTTATCCTAATAAATTCTTACTTTCTTCCCTGCTTATTATTATATTTTTCTAATTGCAGACCTTCGATCCTTGTCAGCGACATTTTATGGCAACATGATGAGTATCAATTTCCCACCCCATCACCCCATATCTTGAGAAGGAAAGAAGCACCAGGTACCTTTTTGATCTAATTTTTATGAGGCAAATGTTCCCCTCATTTCATGCGTTACTTTTGTGTACACCTAGGCTCATATCAGCTGAAAACTCTTTATAATAATTAACACTTAACAGGAAGAATGAAACAATCTGATATCATAGTCAACCAAGATGTAGCAAATTCTGTTTCGATATATATATGACATTAACTGGACTTACGCAACAAAAAATGATAAAAACTAATAGAATGGAAGTGACGTCAATTTTTCTCAGTAGTACGTTAATAGGCTTGAACTTTTACTATTTGTTCATTAGGTTATGACACTTTCTTGTATCCCATGAGCACTAGTGTAGTAGTCTGATCAGGTGAACAGCTTGATCAGCATATAGATTGTGATATAGCTTACCCTGTAGGGGATAATGTTATCTTTCATTAAAAGATCCTGGTGATCGCCTTAATAATATACTTTAAGTGCATAAGTTCTTTTTTCATCTTTATTTATTTATTTTATCTTTTTCAGAGCTGAAGAAGAATGAAACTTTTCCTCCATCAACATCACTCGAGGAAAGAGAAGCAGCTTATATGGCTGCTCGTGCACGAATCTTCTCTCTACACGAGAGTGATCAGAAGGAAGTAACCGCTCCGAAGTCCCGAAACATTCCTGTTGTTGCTCGACGAATGATTGCACATGCGCTCGGGACAAAGATTAGTTCTAATGCTAGTACTGAAGCACCTGAAACTAAGAAAGAGAGTGAAGAGCATGTATCTTCAAGTTCAGAACATTATGAAGAAACGACTACAAAATTGCATCGGCATAGAAATAAAACGTATGATAGGCATGCAGACAAGAGCAGTAGGTCATCCAACGGTTTTGTCTTGAAAAAGGGGGATACAAGAGCTGATGATTTAAAGTCATCTTTAGACAATCCCATACCAAAAGGGAACAATGGAAAAGTAGTTACCGCCGAGAACTTGGAAAGACAGCAGAAAGGTGCTGCCAAAAGGATATTTGCTCATGCTTTGGGCCTGACATCTGGTAGAGGAAATCAGAGTTCCTCTCTGAAGTCTAACCAGGGGAATAGCGCTTGTGGGCAGAACATTTAGAGCTCGTCTTACAGTGAATCATGGAAGATAACTTTTACCATCTGATGTTTGATCGGAAAATGCTATATTAAAGATTGCATAAGGAGAGGTGTAGCGAATTCGAAAATTTGCCATGTCCCAGAATCGTGCATATTGCCCAAACCAGCAAGAAGATGCTCACGAACTGAGGAGTGCACTGGGGAGATAAGTTGACCTTGATATTTGTAAGAACTGCAGATAGTATCAAGGGTAAGTACTTCAAGAGGGTTTACATTGCTGTCGTGGACGAAACGAATCGAGCAACTTATTTGACACTTTACTCGACTTCTTCCGCACCGACTGGAGCAGAAAAACTTGAAGAAGCTAGCTGCTGTTTGAGAAATTAAAAACGAGGCTGTGGAGATGACTGGCGTCGAAAGTATCGATTCTGCCATCTCTAATCGGAACTTTGGAAATAAGTTGCAACCCCTTTATTATTTGTTTGCTTTCTGTGGTGCTTTTTCGCATGATGTTTTGCTGCAGAATCCTGCCGGTGAATAAGGAAATCTTCAGGCCACAGAGTATTAACCTTTTGAGCTTAAAGCAGTGTTTTTCTTTGTCCTTTTTCTTTTTTCTCGTAGCATCTTCAGATCCCTCTGTACGTATATAAATGCATATTTTAGTCCTATATATATTTGATCGGAGTCAGGACCGATGGTTGAGCTACGGTTGCTACAATGACCGCGATTTGAACGTGGGCAGTTGGGATTTTTGACTTGAAATCTTTGCGAGTTAATTATGATTCTACTTGATGCGTTAGCCGTCTTCTCTATATTTTTAGGCTTCTCATTTATTTTTCTTGTGTGATGAGGAGCATCGCAATTTGCAACGCAACATTTTATTTCAGCTGCGTGTGGTTATCTTTGATGCACTTGACTTTAGTAACCCAAGGAACAAAATCTATCTGCATTTACCTTGATTTTAACGAGTACAATAATTCTCA